GTAACCTATGTTCCTTCAGAAAGGGAAAAACGTTCGTCCCTGAAGCAGAAGAGCAAAGTTCTTTCGTCGTCTTCATATCATTCATGCGGTCCCGAATTGAGAACATCGAATCAATAAAGCTTAACGGGGACGCTACGTCTATTGTACGAGACAAGAGGAGGAGAAAATAAAAGCGTAACACAAGCATTCCGCTATTTGTATTTCTTTCCGAAGCCAGCTACCCACGCAGGTAAAGGAACTTCCGTCTCAAAAGCAGTTACTCAGTCTTCTCGTCATCAGCATACCAAGTTATTTCGCGCACTTTAAGTCTTGCCTTTTCTAATTCTTGAGACACAATTGTTTTGTCAGCACCGCACATCACGGAGGAGTCGTAAACAATTCGCGAAACAAAAAGCCGCTCTTAAAACGGAAATTCGAGGCAGCCTACTTCGCTCAGTGTTGCACGGTACCGCGAAGCGTGCAAGAAGGTTAAATCGCTCGCCACGAGATGGCAGGGTCAAGCAGAGTGGTTGCAAGTAGCTAGGCTAGGTTGCGCTAAATACCGCCCAATTCATGGGTTATAAAAATATTTTTATTTTCTCACGCCACAATTGCACTTCGGGCTCCTTTATTGCATTTTCTTATCACACATCTCGATACATTACGGTGACCACAAACATTAGCTGAACACATACAACGAGCGCATACACATACACGGCACATACAAATATCAATACAACAGCACACTAACCCGATTACTACTTCGGAGCTGTGCGTTTCCGCCTTTTATAATCATCGTTTTGAAGGTACGGATTTTCTCGGTAGGCACCTAAGCAATTAGCAATATTCCCAGCGTACTGGTTTTTTTTTCAGTTATGTTATACCTTTGAAAGTATTTTCAACAGCCCAGTGGATGAATCTCTTAGTGAAATGTAAACGCTCATCTGTAAAAATTTTAAAGTCAATAAAACAAGGCGCTCCACTGTGGTTCCAAGCTATATGTTTGCTTCCTACACAGCACGTCGTAGCCAGCTTTTCTATCAGAGTATTTGTTTTCTATTTCTGCTATTCGCGCGCGGCTGCAATTGTCGTCTGGAATTAATCTCCATAAAGGGATATTTACTGAGCTAGAAGCGATACTCAAAGGGCAGATAAATCGCTGTTCGATCAACACGAATGCAGTCAAAACCGCGACTTGCAGCTGGTGTTAAGTGTACTGAGCTACGCCAGGGCAAGCTCGAAGACTTCTAACGCTCATCGCAGCGCGCCACTTGGAGGGAAGTTTCTTAAGAATCTGCAGTATATTTATGCAGAAAACGAAAGTATAGCTTCTTTTTTTTTTCTCGCTTTTACTTAGAACCCTCCCTTAATGCTAAAATTTTGATCTGTGAATATGCGTACTTTCCGTCATATTTTCATGCTCTTCAGTCCTTCCCTTAGAACGCAATCGCTCTAGGGGAGGGGACAACAGGATATCGCAGATGACAGTCACCTTCGCCACTGTACGAAAGGAGGGGGTTCAGACCAGCTTTCCAACATGACTATTCGCAGGTCGGTCAGTTTCACCGTAATCCCTCAAGCGGTCTTAAACTCTTTAATGTAAAGCAGCATGCCAACCTGCGACACCCCTCCCCTTCTATCACTGCCCGAAAAGCGGCATCAATGCCCGACAGTTTACGTCATCTAATCTTGCTGTTACACAACTTATGCCATTAATACGCGAACACACGCTCGCATCGGCGACAATCCCAGTCGTCGTTCACAACGCACAACACTGCCATCGCGATGTTCCTGCTATGTAGCTCACACGCGGAAATACAAAACCACGTTAAGTGCCGGTTGGCACTTGGTATCAGAAAACAGATCCGAACTCAACACAGAAGGCACGCAGGCACCCGGCAGCCAAACCTGTCTGTCTTGGACGCAGTTTTTTGCTGTTTCCATAACGTCGTCAACTGTGACACGTCGTTACAGTATACCAAATACGTCGTTCCGCAAATCGGAGGCGGCCGCCTTAGCCCAGTGTACGTAGCACTTCTGGCACCGCTCAGGAACTGCGCTCGTTCTAACGGCTTCGTTTGCTTGTTTGACAAAATTAGTGGTAAAAGCGTCACTGCAACCGGGATATTCCACACTTTTGGACTGGGAGACAGAATCGCAGACGGCCTTCGCTGCCGCTGAACAACGCTCATTAAACAACCCGCGCGATGCGCTCGAAAAAGAAAACCGAAAGAAGGTGAGGCAGGAGGGCGGAACCGTTCTCCCGTCTGCCTGGAGAAGGAGGAAAACGTCTCGTTCCTCTTTTCTTCTTGTGTCCGCTTGGGGCTCGTCGATAGAAGGGAGGAAACCGCGCCGTTTCTAACTTTTTCTTCTTTTTTTTTCTCTTTGAGTGTCCATCACGCGAGTCTCGAGTAAGGAGATGAGGTCGATGACGTGGCACACAGATTCTGCAAGGCCCACGGCAAGGCTGGCGTTCCTCTTAAGAAGACGGACGGAACCTTGGAGATCTCTTCAGATGTGTGTGCCCCACTGCTTGCACAATTCCGTCTGCGCAGTTGATGTGCCGCAAGTACTTACCCGACGTATTCGCAAAAGATGTCTCTGTACTGATGAAAATGTGCGAGAATTGTCCGATTTTTCTAACTATCGATGAAACACCTGAGCTCCGTGGTTGACCAACGATTGCTGTACTTGTGACATTGTTTGATTGAGAGCGTCTCCATCGAAGGACCTTTTGCCAGATCTCCAAGTCTTACAGAAGTGCAACGCCGTCGCCTTTGGAGTGCTTGTCTAGGACGTTCTCGGGAAGCTTGGCAAGAATTTCCGGAATGCATGCGTCATTTACTCGGACTCAGCATCATACATGCACAAGCTGCACATAGACATCCAACTATCTCATGCGGACTTCATGGAACTGCGCTTCAAAGACTTTTGCCTTTACCTCAACATCACACTCGCCGAGAGAATGAAACTGTTTTAGTTGGAAATTGTACCAGACTTTGTCGTCCACGTCCCTGCCCTCTTAAAGAGTTTGTGAAAGCTGCGGCGTAAGATCAAAACTATTTTTCACTCTATGAATCTTCGACCATGGTGTCCGTCCACAGTTAGCCCTTCACGGTGATTTTCCTTTTACGAGGCACTCACTGATGCTTCGCATTACTCGCGCCCAATTATATTTTTTCTGGAGAGTAGTGACACAGTTGGTTGGAAGCACAAAAAGCTGAATGCGCTTATCTCAGCTCCAGAGCCCTCAAAGAACTTCTTATAAAAATGACTTTCATCCACAAAACTTCGGGCTCGCTCTTGACTTGACATCATGAATGTTCTAGAGTCGGAAAAAAAACCTCGTGCAAGAAGTGTAAACTGTTTTCGGCGTAAAGCTCGCATATTTGCTGAAAAGGTGGAATACCCTTCCGCTCGAAAGCTACGGCAGTGTTGATGCACTTCTGAAGATGAGTTCTTCCTTTTCAGCTCACTACCGCGCGATCCAGAACAAGTGGCTGGGGGCTGTTCCACGGAACATCGCTGATTACCTGCTCTTCACGGATTAGTTGTTCTGGTTCGGCGTGCAGATGGTAAACCCTTGCATGCAGATGGAGCTGCCGGAGGGGTTTTCTCCCTACGAAAGTAACTTCAGGCTTGATAAATGTATGGTCAGTGATCCGGAAACTGGGTTTCTTCACTACCACCAGTACGCCACCAGTGCTATAGTTTACCCCGTGCTCTTTTGAAAGCTAAACGCATCGGACTGGCAGTGGTCAGTACTGTTCCAAGCCTCGTTGGATGTTTCGGGGCTTCCTCTCGGCAGCGCAACTGTTGAGCGGGCATTCTTGAAATTGCGCGTCTTTCGTCAACAGGAAGGAGCGGGCGGCAGTGACAGACGAGAGTCTAGGAATGTACGCATGCATATACTACAATAATCAAATGTTAAATCGATTATCTAACAAAATGTAAATAAAATTTCAACTGTTTTTTGTCTTCAGTGGTCGTTTACATACACAATTCTTTTCCCCGAAAATCACCGTTTTCAGCGTCTGCACTGGAGAATTTACAGAAAAGCACCGGTATTCTAGAAAAAAACAAAAAAAAAACACCAATTAACATCCGCCGATTTTTGTTATAAATAAACACCGGAAAGTATGCACCCTACTTATAACATCGTCAATACACTTTCAAGCCCCTGGTGAAAGAATTATGCGCAGAAATCCAGAAATTATGCGCAACTCGCAAGTGTTATGGGTCTACCCCATAGATGGCGCCAGTGTGCTTTCTCGTCATATGGGATCACAAGGGGTTGGTATGCACTGGGCTGCAACCGAATGAAGGGGTGCGAACCGGCCTTCAAAGTAGAACCCGGAAACTGGAAAACATTTTGCCCACTATACACTGGGACATGATCTCGGCAAGAAAACTGCTATGGTTCCGAGCTAGCCAGAGGGTGTTTTCACCGACGTTATTTCGTCCACCTGTTTGTTGTTATGAGCAGCCTGGCGCTTAAAGAAGGCGAGTGCCCTGAAGAGGCACATCACACCCTCGCATTGGTAGTGTACAAAAGTTTATAAGTTTTATTACGCTGCCATCTAGCAACAAATCGGCGGATTACCGTCCTGTAAAGACACCCTATACTGAATGTTTTAGCTGCGCCAAAGACTCACCCGGACCTATTTTTAATATCGCTTATTACCCTTGTGCGTGCGTGTATGCTTTTAATACTTCACGAAGACTCCTTAGTGCGCACTATGTAATTTATTTTTAATGTTATTTAATATATGTAAACTGCTGAATCACTGAATAAAGAGGATGCTGTTACTGTTCCTGTTATGTTTCTGGATTATGTGACTATTGCTATTAATATAAAATATAATTAGCTTGCATTAACAACCGTCTTAACAAAAAATACCTCAAGCGAGGCTAACAACGAAAACAGAGCTCTGCCGTTCAGACGTCTAATAGAGCGCCGCTGTCTTCACAGTCATTCTGGAAGTCACCCGAAGTCCGCCATAGCTTCTGCAGGCACGTACCCATGTTGGAGGGCTTTTCGCACAAAGCCTTTCCTTCGGCTCAGGTAAAGTCTGTAGCTCCCCGGATGGGCGTCCAGGACCTCAATCGCTCCTCCGACCACCAGAACGGCTGCGTTTCCTTTGTCCTGCTGCTTGGCGCCAAGGATAAAGTCGATGCTCTTTGGAGTCGACGCACATATTCCTGCGGATGCGATGAGCGATGAGAGAAGCCCGTGCACCATTCCAATATTTACAAATCTTCACCCCAGCACGCGCGTGTTCACCTTTTTTCATGGTAAGCAAACCACACGTCATGCTCACGAACGCTAAAGGTGGCATTGGCCAGAGGCTTGTTGTAGCAATGGTGTAGACGTCATAGCGGTAAGCTGACAGAGCAATAAAATTTGGTAAAGCCAATCAACCGTAAATTTTTTAATCACCTGATCACGCTTTCTGCGCGTTCCCAGGTTCCGAGAGCGGGGTGGGGATATAGGAAGTACGTGATTCACAGTTCCAGAAAACAGGTATAGCTTTTTCCGCCTTGTCAGATTAGCGATGTATGTAGTATATAGGTGAGACAACATTGAAAATATAGGTTAGCCCATACCACGGTGACAGAAATACTTCAGGTGGCGTAACGCTGAGCCTTCGCCGAAGAGCCAGCGTGTCGAAAATCGGCATGGCCTCCTGAGCCTCCGGGGTGATGGAGCGCCCAGGTGAAAGGGCGCGTCACCAACCCAGAGGCTGAAGAAGCCTTCCTTTCATGAGCGGTAGCGTGCGCCGGGCTATGACGCCGTGTAGTTTTACGCGGTTTTCACGTGGTTCTCGCGTTGTTTCTGGCCGGTTTCGGCTTCCAGAGGTTGCCGGTAATGTGGAACAAGTGGTTCGTGCCGCGGTGCAACACAGGGTACGAGACATGCGCGGAGGAGCTCACTTTTTGTTACTCGACGGGGAACAGGACCACCTGAAGGTCAATACTTCAGCTTGGGCGAGTTGGTGGTTCCGACTTACACTTCAAAGCGCACAAGAACCTACGCATCTTGAAAGTTACCTCACGCAAAGAAAGAACACTCACACTGCGCTGACTCACAATCCTGGTTTGTATTGTGCTTCATATTTATATTCCTTATTCTTATATATAAAGAACTAATTTAAGCTACGGCTGATATAACTAGGTTACGTTTCCTAAATAGTCTAGTTGTTTTTGTTTGTTTTTTTACAGTTATCGAAGGGGTGCTAACATATAAGCTATCTAGCGTGGCAATGTTCGCGGTTCCTATGATTTCTCGCATATATTTGTTATTGCTCCTGCCCAGTACAATGCAGTTGGCCAGAAGTGGAGAACACCCTCAATCTCGGCAATGGATGCCTAAATGACCTCAGTCGGCCTTGATGGCGTTGGTTTTCTGTTCCCGAATTCGTTCGTTGAGACATCATCCTGTTTGCCCGATGTAGCGCTTTCCACGGGAAAGGGGTAAGGAATAAATGCAAGGAACAAACTTAGTTTTGTGATTCTTGGTGCAGCACGCTGGTCGAATAGAAGGCCCATTTACCTTCTTACATAAGCTAGAAAGTTTATATGGAGCGGAAAAGGCGACGTCGAAATTGACTAGATCGGCTGCTTTCTCGAGCTTGTGGAAAAGGTTGTGATGACAGGGCATTAAAGAAGGTCTTGTGGTGCGGTCTATTGGACGGCGTGTCATAGCTCCTTCATGCTTAACTTTCCTGAGTAGGCATTCAGCAACTGCGGTTAATAAAGACGAAGGGTACGCCCCTGAGACCAACCGAGAGATTTGCATTTCTAAGCTAGTTTATACTGTGTGCTTGCATGATTTGTTAAAAAGCTTTTAGACAGAGTTTTTCAATGCCCCTTTTAACAAGCTTTGAGTGTGCTGAGCTCTAGTTAAGGAGTGACTTTTTTTTCCTAGGATTGTAGGACCAGCAGCTGTGACGGTGTGTCATGAACACTCGAAGGTCTAAGAATCCTTAAGGATCGCTCAACCGGGGGTTCGTGAGTAAGTTTTAACAAATTCAGGCAGTTTTTGAAAGTTAAAAAAATACTGACCATCAACGTGGGGAAGGTTTTATTGCCAATATAGAGGAATATCAAGTAATCATCAACGCATCAAAACGCACGCCCTATTTTTTAGTGCTCCAGGTTTTGCTGTAAAATTCTGTTATGAAAGGCAAGAAAAAGTTCACTAAGGACAGGAGCAATACAAGACCCTATGCATACTCATGATTTTTGCAAGTATGTTATGCAATCCCAGGTGGCAAAGGTAGATTTCAAGTAGACGGTTATTAAGTCCAGAAAACCTTTGATAAACAGACCAGTAGCGTTTTGAAAGACGATGACACCGAAGGTGTCAATGCTCTCTTCTATGTACCTGAGAAGACGATCTTGAGGTAAAGCATAGCAAAGATATTTTACATCGATGGAAAAGGCATTGAGTTTTATGTCCTTGAGACATTTGTGGAGAAAATGTAAGACCTTATCCGAGTTTCTAATCAAGTAGGGATGATTTGGGTCGAGTAGGTTTAGTTAGTCTTGGAAGGATACAGCGACCGACATTTGCCAAGTGCCTTGTTCAGACACAATGACCATGAGGGAGCGTTCGGTCTTGTGGGTTTTTTCATTGAAAAATATCTCAAGGCTGGAAAGTTTGCTCCTGTCAATGGAGGCACAAAGTTGCTTTAAGGCAAGCGAACCACATAATTTTTTGACTTGGCTTTTTATCTTACTTAAGGATATACGTGGTGGCATTGGAAAACAGGTACGAGGGCTGTTAAGGCCTAAACCAATATAACGCCGTGATCCTTTACTTTTATTTGTGTGTGCTTGGTTTACCCGTGATAGCTTACTGGAAAAAAATAAGGAGCGCCGTGACCATGCACTTTTTGTTGTATCGTCATCAAAAGTGCATTGATTGGCTCCATGGGAACGTAGCGTGTGCTCCAATCGCGAGCTCTTTTCTTTAAAAGGGAACTACCGACGAACGGTCAAGCAGCAGAATCACATACAGGGACTACCCCGCTCGCGCTTGTGTCCTTCAGAGAAGTTTATGTGAACGCCAGACAAAGTAAAAAGTGCCGAGAGAAAAGAGCACCGTACGTTTCTCATCGCAAACATAAAAAAATAGGCATAGCCGAAACTTCAGTCTCTGTCGAAATGTATCTCTGCTAGTAGTCGGGACCAGAAAGGCTGACAATTTCAAGAACTTTATTATCCGTTATCCGACTTGTCCGTCTCAAGTTATCCGTCTCGATGGTTGTAATCGTGTTTGTGATATTTGCATCGAGAATACGGAGTTTGTTGCGAGCAGCGGACGCACTTTCACTCCAAGGGCCTCAAACTTGTGGAAAAAAAAGTTGGTGCCAAAAATTCGCGGAGTCGGCTAAAAAAGTGCGAAGTCATCGTCGTGATAGGCCAATTGGTGCGCTCCGTCAACTTCGTCCCAAACTTTCTGTTTGACGAGTTTAGAGGCCTAGGCATTCACGAGAGTCGTTAGCCGCCGTTTTCTCTTGAAAAGTTTTGAACATCGCGATAACATTTGGGGACTAATTAAGTTCCTACACTTTGGCATCGGGTTGACACCACTAGAGCTACATTTGGGCGGAGTCTGTAAATTCAGGGACGCTCCTTTATTTTTCTTTTTTTTTTTCTTTGTTTGCAAACACCCGGTATAGCTTGAAATCCATTCTGTGGTATGGATATTTAAAGAGGGTCGAGTTGAAGATATGGCACCAAAAATTACCATGGTGAAGATGCTTGATGTGCCAAGGTCGGTGGTTTTGTTTACCACTTTGGACTAGTTTCTCATGACATTCACAGTATGTGGAATCAGTCCAATCCTGCTCAAAATGTTAAGCAGAATTTCGGTAGAACACACTGCGTTCGGTGCTCGTCAGCCTGACCCCAAAATAGTTTTTATGCCGTGGAGGTGCTTAATTCTGGTGGACCTGTGGCCGTTCTGACAGCCACGGGTCGGAAAACCAGGCCTCCTCGCAGAGAGCTCCGACTAGTTTGTGAAGCGTAGGATGGCCAACTTCCTTGGAGGCCTTCCTGTTCATTCTCTTCGGGGGCACGACGGAAGTATTATCGAACCAACCCGTGGCATTGTACCTTGCACCTCGTCTACATTGCCGCGAAAATGTGGGACCGCGCTACTAGGTTTCCCTCTACTTTGAGATCACCGCCGCTGTTGAAAGAGCCCTTCGGTTACTCAGCACACCTGTGGGTAGCGAGAAAAAAAAAACAAGCAAAAGGAAGGCCAGTGTCACCGGTGTGTCTTGTAAAATTGTAATTTTAGTTATATGTGTAATTGACATTCTAGCACGATGTGGTTAGTAGTTTCTGGGTTGTGGAGTATGCTGAACAGTCTGCCCATTCTTTTTCACTACATAAATCGAAAAAAATCAATATTTATTTAGAAATAGATGCCATCTAGTAAAGATAAAAATATATATATTATCGCTTTTTTGCAGCTTAGCGTTACCAAAACTTTTTTTTCTGCTCAGTGTGATTTATTAACTTTAGATTTATTCACGCGGCGAGCGTGAGTGCCTGGCATTGAAAGATGATGTTAGCTAACTGACTGCATATGGCAAAAATACCGTTTTATTCGAAAAGAAAAAAATATAAGCATCGCTAGGCTATCGTTCTGCGAAGTCGCGCGCATTATTCTTTACGCTTCCTACCTATAGAAGAATCTTGAGCTATGCTTTATATAATGAATGAAGGAGGTTACGACATAACGAGCATACACGCACTAGCCTGGCAAAACGTTTGACGAAGGAACAGGGTCTTCTAAGAAACACGCCTAATCTTCGAAAAGGTATCCTTCAAAAGTATGAAAGTTATTCGCAAAGTAACATTCGATGCAAAATTGAGCGCTCATGCAATACATGCAGAGCCTTAAGGCTTTAAATACTGGCAGAAAGTAAAAGACAAAAGTATTGTCATTTATGCGCTGTTTCTTCTTCCTCACTATGCACATGCCTACAAGAATTCATAGCTTCGAAGTCATTCTACTCGCCTTATCTTAAATGTGTAACAATGACATTAACCTATTCTCAAATAAAAGTTGGCAGACATATTCCGTCTTGCTCTACAGCATGTTAATTCCTTATGATGATATGTTCCCTACTGAAAAGATTTCGCACCAATACAGCCTATATTCTATAACAAAATTCAAATGATCCATAGAAACAAAGATTTCAAAACTAAGAAGTTTTATCTGTGGACTTCACAATTTGACGTAGCTCATTAAAGCCGCCCTTATAATAAATCAAGACAAAACAAATTATTGTCGCTGCTTCGCGCCGCATCAATTTAATACCTCAGCTGATTGGGAAAAATATTTTGCGGCTAAGAGAAGAAACATCCGCATTTTGACAGGTCCAGCATGGTAGACAAGCATGGCCAAACGTCAAGTTGACACAAATATGTATGTATCAGGTCCTATTTTTTGCATACGATAAGATATGTGACGTTAGTCGCAAGAATCCGTATAGTATTTATTATTATTATTATTATTATTCAATAGGACAAGTGCTTCCCTAGGGTGTGTCCTAGAAAGTTCCTAAACCCGTTTTCAACATTTCAGGAAGCTCATAACCACGATACTCGGTGCAGGGTTTCGATTGTTGTGTTTCCGCGTTCTATCGCGCCCATACATCAAAAGTGATCCCCAAGTCGCACCGAATGACGGCGCAGCAGCCAGCCTGTACCGCTGCCGGATGTCGCGGTTCTGACAGATGGCGCTAGAAGTCCCGGCATGCTCTGCGGCATGCGATGTACGAGCGAACGCGAGTGTCACTGTCATTGAGGCGTCCTAACCTGGCTCCCGCCGCTTCCATCGACTGTCAAGCTACACAGCGACCCGCTGCAGAGCAAGCGTTTGCCGCACCCACCGCGGCTTCTTTGACACTGTTAAGATCGCGGCCGGCGGCAGCATGCCCCTTTGATGACGTCATTAGGCGGACATTGCGGGACCACATTTTTTAGGACGAGGTAAACAAATTAGTCGGACACGTCGTTCCGGGCACCACACCATAATGTCACTGATGCACGTAGCGACCTCTTACCTGTACTAAGCAGCAGGTCCCGATGGATCGGGAACCGGAACTGTCCTTTCAGGACGAGCAGGTGTGGCCGGATGTTGGGGAACAGCTCGCTGAAACCCGTGCCTTCGGTAGCAAAGTTGCCGAAGGCTCCCGCGCACATGATGCCGTGAGGATGGTAGCCCAGCAGATAGTTCTTTCCGGGAGGCAGGTCGCACGTCTTCACCAGGGTAATTGGGAAGTAGTCGCGAAAGTACCTGCGCGCCGGAAGCGTCAAGATCTACATTCTACTTCCAGGGTACTATACACTAAAATAAATTTGGTCTTAGAAGGCCTTTTAGGGGTTCTTCGGCTGTTCTATATTTTGCACCCTGAAAAGTTGTTTTTGGCACCCCCGTTCTTCGCGAAAAAGCTCTAATTGCGTATTTTAAATTCTTTTGTTTTTAATGCGACAGAGTTCCTCATTGCCCAGTTGTCTTTCTAGTGCGCCACTGTGCGATAGTGTTTGAGGCGAAACTGTTTTTCACGAGCTGAAAGAGTTCTTGTGGCGTCAAAAAACTTTCAAGCACGGTTTTTTTTTTTTTTTTTTTAGTATATACAGGGCCAGAAACGCGTCTCCATCTGGTGTCTATTGCGTCCCAAAAAGTGGTCCCCCGATTTCTGCCTACTGAGGTAATAAAAGTCTACTGTTGTCACGGGCAACAATCCTGGTGGTGCGACAACTGCGTTGATAAATATGGCAGACGCTTGTTCTGCAGCATGCGGCCCACTCCTCAGCTTGACAGTCTTCGGAAGCTTCAGCAGCCAGGAGATGGAACGGCGTGACGACAGCGACACTCGCGTTCGCTCGTTATGTTTTTTTTTTTTTTTTTTTTCTTTTCGGGTCTTGTATACCATCAGCCACCAGGATCGCGACAACCGGCAACGAGACACGATGACTTCTTTGACGTCATTTGTTGCCTTTTCGGGACCACTTTTGGTGCATGGGCGGGTATAGGAAGCTAAACACAATGGTGTCGAGGACAAGTTACAGGCAACGTAATCGTACCGCTTCGCGAGCGAACGACGAAGACTTCTCGCAAGCGTACCAAAAAGCCTAATTCATATTTTTTTGGACTATCTGTTCGAATGGATTAATTGCTTGATACGGCGAAACCCTTTGAAGTTTGCGGTAGCTCGCGGCGCTCAGCCAGTGTTTTGTTATGCACGATTGAGTTTAATCCACAACGAACAAAAATAACGTGTTTGCTAACACTCCATATGGTGCTGACGACTGAGTATAGTCACCAACAAGTAACTTTGGTTGTTGAAATAGGTAGTGTTGCTTGGTTGTTGACCGTCTTTGCAAGGTGTTTGCTTCAGAACTTATGACTGCTGGTATGCACTAACAAACATGTATATATATGTCCGGCCAACACCGGGTTCGCGGACCAATGAAGGAAAGAAACTACCCTAAATGCAAAAGTCACATACGACGTTGTGTTTTCATTTTGTAAGTGGTATATGTTTTCTGGCAGCCTAACGAGTTTACTAAAAAATATATGCCAACTCACCGTTTATAAACAAGTGCGCTCCTTCACAGGAGCTGTATAGGCACTCAGCATGCACAGACACTTTTTTTTTTCTTTTTACGGAAGAGCAACGAATATGTGCATGCTTTTCTTGACATCCAGCTCTACCGCACTAGCGCGATATCAGAAACATGATTTGATGTAGCGATCACAATCGTTGATAACGAAAAGGTTCTTCAATTATTTGCATTTGACTGCAACCGAACGTGATATAATCTCTTGTATAATCGCTTAACGCAATGGCACACTTGCGCACTCTGTCGGTTAGAGCTGGAACACTTTTCCCATCGGTATATAAGTAGACTGAAAGTTTTGCACTGTCGGTGAAATCAAATCTACGCACTATTCATGAGAAATGGTCACGTATAAGATCGTCACAATTATTTAGTGCCCACTGTGAAAGAACGAGGCGTAAATGAATTATGAAAATATATGGTCAGGTGAGTTTCAGGTCTTTCCGTTGGATGGCGCCAGTGTACGGGTGCGTTAAGTGGTTGCAAAAGATCGCAACGAACATGGCCACACTCAAACGCCAATTAGTAACCAGGGAAGACTCGGCGGCATCTCACTTCCATATGGTCCACGAGCGCACCCATGTGCTGGGGTGCCCTCCACGGTCGCAGGAGTTCCAGTCCCATATCATCCAGGCGAAGTAGACGACAGACACGCAGCAGAACCTCGTGAAGAGCAGGTAGACAAGCAGGAGCGAGGCCAGCACGCCGAAGGCCAGGAAGGACGCACTATAGTAGAAAGCCGCCAGAGTCTCCAGCCTCCGATGAAGCGGAATCCGCAGGGGAGCCCACTGGATTGACAGCAGGCTTCGGAGCCCTGCCGAAATTGGGGTGCACATGGGAGGTAGGTACTCGAAGAAGCATGCTCGCGTTTTGATATGTTTTCGATTGAGCGCTTGATAGTATTCATTTCTTCATTTACAGGCTCGAGAAGAGTTGGCTTTGTAATTAAGAACAACTAGGCGATGATATATTAGTAAGAAATAACTTAAAGAGGGAAATATATTTATTACGTACACCTCCAAGGACAGAGCATCCAAAATGTTTGCCCTTGCAAAAGCAAGTTTGTTTATTTATTTGCTTATATTATAAATATTAACACTGGAAACATAAAATGAGTATATTATTCAAAGATTTAAAAAATCTGATCTAAAAGCGAGCTGGCAATCAGTTCGTCGAACGACACTTCATCCACATTGTTTTGTCGACAGGCGATTTTCATCGTTCATTCAACCGAAAGACTTCCCGCGTTCGTTTCATCGACATTCTATGCTACGCGTCGTCTAGCACAACCCTGCTGTTTTCGCAACAGACTATATGCCTCTCTGGCTAACGTGGGGAGAGAGAAGAGGAGGGAAGGGGGGGGGGGGAGCGGGAGGTTTCAGTAAACACTAGAGATGCAGCAAACTTTTTTTCAAACCTGAGGTTCCAAGATCAAACTAAGGGGTTCGAAAGGTTGGAATGCATTTCAAAATGTCAAACTCACTAAATAAAAGAAACACGACAATTTTCGAAATTTTGAATTTTTCGCGATAAGAAATTTGATGGCGTTCAAACTTCAGAATTTTTCACATGAAATTCGAACTTCCCGACTTATCACGCTAAGAAATGCGAGCATTTCCGAACTTCCGAACCTGATAAGTTCAGACGATCTTATGAGCAAAAGTTTGGCGAAGTTCAAACCAAGTTCACCCCCATAGGTTCAATTCAACAAATAAAAATAACACAGCATATCAGTGTGTGAGGTATACCGGAAATTGTACTCGAGTTTTACTTAGCTGATTGTGCCACATACCATACACTTTAAATGCGCTGAATAATCGCTTTTGAGGTGGCCTCGGCTTAGTATTTCGTACCCTTTGTCTTTCGGCTGCCCCAGAGAGCCTCTTCCGTGCACAACTCCGTAGGTTGCCCTGAGGCAAACTGTGAGCCAAATCCCTGGTGTACGGGCTTGAAATTCAACCGAGGCACTTAGCTGGGGCTTGCTTCATAGTTTCTGAACGTATCTCCCGATTTCCTCGAAAAAACGGCTGGTCCGGGAAAAACGCGCGCGGAGCGTGACGCCCATGCGCTACAGCGAACGCTGGATCGACGCTTACTTCGTTATCATTATTAGCCGGCTAAATTTTAGTGCGACCATCATCTCCATTCATCGAAAATGAAAAGATCCAGGCAGCTGCAACACCGTTAGCCCGAAGACAACCGGTCGTGACCTGGTAAGCTGTATTTTCGGGGGCCGGGTTGTCCCCTAATTTTGTCTGGTTGCATTCTCCCGAACCTTGACTTGCGTCTGGTGTTGTGGTTGTGCCCAGTATTTCCTTCATCCCACAGGTCATCCCACCAAAAATGAACGCCTGGGCAACTAAAATTTTCGGGAAGCCTGGATGCCTTTTTACACATGAGCTGTCCTCTATATTTAGTTGTTTTATGCCAGCGTTTCATCTGGGCGACGTTTGATTGGATTGGTACTAGTTTGTAAAGAAGTGGGAAGTATGTAAAACATAACCGCAAGAGGGTGTCTCGATGAAACGTTCTACCAGTTCAGCACTTGTTTTATAAGTTACGGCAAATAACGAGTAATACAGGTAGTACTTACAGCACCACAACGCTAAGATAGAATGAGTAATTTACAGCATAAGAGAAATGTGCAACGTTTTCAGCAAAATTTGTAGCAAATTTCGAAATTGTTTTTCTATGAATTCGTGCAAACTTATTTCGAAACTGCGGATTTGCGGATTTTGATCTTCTTTGTTAAATTCAACGTCTTCCAGCTTAAAATTGAAACTTTCAAAGTTTTCAAACTTGTGCCTTGAAGAAATTCAAAGCCTTCTAATTTTCGAACTTTATTATTATATAAATTTAAGATGCTTAATTTTTTTAAACTTTCTTTTTCAGAAAATTTGATATTTGTTAAATCAAACACTCAGAAACCTTGACATTTTCAATATTTCCGAATTCAAACCTCAGCAGAGTTTTAAACTGGCCACCTTTGCAAATTTGAACATTAGCTAGGTTAGAAATGTCTTAAACCTTTCGAACTTGAACTTTGTGAGGTTCACGACATCGTTCACGCGGGTAACTTGGCGATATCATGAAACACAGAACCCAATTGACGATTTCAAAAACCTGGCTGGTATTTCCGCAACTTAAAGGAGGCTGCTGAAACCGCCTTCCGACCGGGTTTTTGATTGTGCGGTTTTTTGTCGATTACCGGTACGCCTCGGGTGACCTTGGTCATTCGGCACGTTAACCTCATATGTGTACACATCGGGACACTGTTAGCGCGAACACGACATCGGCGAATTTTCGGTTTTTTCTTCTAAATAGTGTTAGCGAGCATGAAATTTTATCGCTTACATTATAAAACGAAATGGGCTCTTTCCGTAACATTAATAACTTGGATGACATCCCTTGGTTCAAAGAGAAAATCTGGAAAAACCGGCGATCGTTTGTTCGCGCTAACAGTGTCGCGCTCTGTACGTCAATGAATTATATAGTCAATGACAGGAAGCCTCAAGAGTGGCAAGTCGAGAGTACTTAATGTGTGGCATTATCCAATAAAATCGCGTGAGCGTAAGCAA